CTCCAGCATCTGCAGTTCCTACTATCTCTTAAACTGTCTTCCTCCAAACTCCCACAACCCATCATTATACAAAAGAGATTAATGTTAAATGAAGAGGAGGGATTGGAAGATTATAGGAACTTTCTCCTAACATTGATCTTCCCAGCAAAAATTAATAAAATATTTCTATAGTACTGTAGACCACCCTTACCATTCTGCACCTGCAAAATTGACATTAGACTTATTGTGGGACTCAAATATGCCATAGCCGTAATAGAGGTAAACATATACTTCCAGAGAGATTTGGCCCATTGTATATTGAGGTAGGAATGGAGATAGATTTTGATTGCTGTATGCTGTAAATTGAGATCAACTGAGATCATCCAACTGGAATGATTGCAAGAACAATACTTGCATTTATTCTGGTATTGTTCCAAGATCTAGATGTTAATGGTATGTTTAGAACCCTTTAAAAGATTATCCCTGACCTTGCAGTTATTGTGGGTCAGGTCTTGTACCTACGAAGTTATCTAAATGCAGAAATCAGTTTTGGGGAGGAAGAAAAGGGATTATCACGCCTCTGAGATCCTGAAAATCTTGAAAAGGAATCAACAAATAGAGCTGAAACCATGGAGCTGCCATCCTGTGGTTGAAGTCCCATTTTTAAAAAAAAAAGTTCTAACCTCCAAAATTGACCTGAATCTTTAAAAGAAAATCTGTCCTAATGAATGTGATTGTCAAAATCCCAGTTTTGAGCATCCTACACTGAATTCTTTAATTTACAGTAATGCTGTCCAAAAATGTTAATTATCTGAATGAAATTTAAAAATTGTGGGAGGAATATTAACATGTTAATTGGAAGAGGGTGGAAATGCAAATCGGCTTTAAACACTTGTGCCTAATTGTCAAGTTAGCAGTTTGGAAAGATTCTTACTTTACAACCAGAAGACTCAGCCCTAGAGAAGACTTAAGTCCTGTTGGTCTTAAGTTTTCACTTTGCCATCAAGTCTTGGAGAAGGTGTTGAATCTGGAGCTTCTAACGCAGATGGAGGTCACATCACATAAGCTTCCATTTGGAAAAGCATGCAAAAGCATTCAGTGTCACTATTGCTTAAACAAATAAGATGTTATGGCCAATTTTTTTTATGATCAGAAGAACAATAATTAGTTTTTATCAATTGCTATGTGCAGGATGTTAATTTTGTGTAATACAGTAGTGTGTGTTTGCGGGTATTTGGTCATTTCAATTTTACAGAACCAATCCCTAAATTGACAATATATTGAAGCTGCAATAACACTTGCTTTGTCTTAACGTTTCAGGTCCGGTGACCCTTTCTCAGAACTGATGGTGGTTGGGAAAACGTCAGTTTATATGCATTAAATAGGGAGGTGGGTGGGGTAGGGAGTAAATGATAGGATAGAGCCGAAAAAGAGAGAGAGACAGTTGGAGAAAGGAGTTGTTAATGATCAGGCTGGAAGGCTGAATAGTTGTTAATGGGGACAGTCCCCATTAAACAACTATTCACCCTTCGAGCCTGATTGTTAGACAGTTGGACAAAGCAGTTGCTTTCTCTCTCTTTGGGCTCTGTTATCGTTTACTCCCTACCCCACCCACCTCCCTATTTTATGCATATAAACTGACGTTTTCCCAGCCACCATCAGTTCTGAGGATCACCGGACCCGAAACGTTAACTCTGTTTTCTCCTTCACAGATGCTGTCAGACCTGCTGAGCTTTTCCAGCAACTTTGTTTTTGTTCCTGATTTACAGCATCCGCAGTTCTTTTGGTTTTTACTTACTTTGTTTTTCTTATTACAGAGTCTCACAATCTGCCAAAGCAACCCCCACTTGCTCTCGCCATTGGGCAGGCTTCGAAGTGTTTGGAGCTGATGGCCCGATTGGGAATTGGTTCTTGTGCATTTGCCACAGTGGAAGAATATTTGCACTAGCTATGCATTTGTACAGCTCATCTCGGAGCCACCTTTAATATTATTGTGACCATTTTCAGAACCAGGTCTGCTCAAGGGAAACTGACTTTTAATTTCCATTGATCTTTTGGGGACAGATTGTAAATGTCATTCTACTTCTGCTTCCTAGTTTACAGCATGGTCCAGCTGTTTTCTAACTTATATGCACAGTTCATTGACATGTTTTGCATTTTTTTTTATAGCGATGTCCGGAGGAGTTGTAACAGTGTAGTATGTATATTTGTTTCAGTGGAACATAACTGTGCTTCCTTATTAATTCCTCAAACATGTCAAAAGATTTTCATCTGAATTGGGCTGATTGAGACTTCAGCTAAAATAAACGATCTATCATATGGGACAATGTCATTCAATCTTAAATATTTGGAGGAAAAAAACTAATTGGCTTAAAGTTAGAAGTGCTTTAATCAAAATTAAAGTGAGAATGTGTGAATAAAAGTATTTAGTTACAGATTAAACCAAAAAACTAGGTTTTTTGTACTTTATTAAAATGTATCTTTTGTGATAAACCAAAATTTAAAATTGCTGTTGTGTGAGTGGATCCCCAATGGTGAGCATGTCTAATACAAAATGGTTAAAAATGTTTTCCATCCCTCTGATGTACATCAAAAAAGTTAAATGCTTGAGTAATTTGGTAGATCTTTTACGTATAGATGGATGGAGGGAGAGTGAATTCTTTTCCCTCATAAGAGTATTGTAAATCTTCATCACTCAGGAGTTGAATGGACAGTCTCAACACTTGTGATCGATTGCAGCGTATTGGTCCCAGTGTTCTTTTAATCTCACCAGGTTGTCTGTGTGCACATGCTCTCCATGTTTCCCCTGCCCTCTCTCCAAACATTGTTTAAATGCAGAGAAATACATTCTACAACCATCATTTTAACCATTGTAAAATAACAGTGTTAAGTACTTGTCAACACATTGTGTGATAATGACATTATTTATATTAAACCAAATACTTAGTCAAAATCTGCAATGTCTTAATTTAAACTTTGTACACTCTGCATTTTTAAGCAGTGCTTGAGTGAGTACTATACTGCAATAAACAAATGTATGAATCATAATTAATCAGCTATTAAAGATTTAAATCTATCGAAATGGGTACTGTTTATTTACTTGTTAAATAGCATTGTCTACATGCTGAAAATGGAAACTTCTTAAAATTGTGCACAACAAACCACATCACTATATCATCCAGAAAGTTTTTAAGTTGCTAAAAACCTTTTGAGGCTTAGGTGTTGATTTCACTTAGCAATCATCACAGACTTCATTACTTACTGTAATGTATATTCTTTGAAGCAAATACTTTAATACAGTATTCAAGCATTTTAAATACTTTATTAAAATCAGCTGTACATTGCAGGTCAGGCTGCTTTGTAGCCTACTGTCTGTTATTTCTAAATCATTTGTCTTTTGAAGGATTTACGTTTTTACATCGCCTTAATCCAAAACAAATCAATTGAAGTTGCTTTTGTCATTGTGGTGACAATCGGAACAGTTTATTTCCAGTGGCTTTTGTTTTTTTGCAATTGTAAATTCTTCAATGTTGGCCAATAGTTACAGCCCAGCCAACTCCACTAAAAGTTGATTGTCTGGTCATTTATCAGTGCTGTTTGTGGACTTTGCCTTGTAAGGAAAGTAACTTCAAAATAATTAGCTGTGAAATGCTTTGGGACATCCTGAGATTCTGAAAAATGCCAAGTTTATTTGCAATGTGTATATTAATTCATGATGATATTGTATTGAAGACTGGTTCCATGAACCTTTATTCCTAACCACCTGCTGTAAAAATTGTGGTGATTATCATTGTAATTTTTTAAACCAGGAAAACTTGCAACTAAAGAGAATGTGTGGTAATAAATTATTACATAAATATTTTACTGGATATAAAATTGTGTGGTCCCCAAAAATGTTCATTTGTAGGTTCGGAAAGGAAATACATTGAACAAAACAAAACATGGTTTAACTTTTCAGCACCTCATCTGGAAAGTAACTATCTGTACCTTCAAAGTGGTTTTGGGTACTTTGTAAAAGTATGACTGGAGTTTAAAGATGATAATGATAATTTGGCACAGAATTACATCTTTGGTTTAAGGTTGTAGATTCAAGGCACACTACAGAACAAGGTAATGTAGGCTGGCTCTTCAATGTATTGCTAAGGCTTATGAAGTTAAATGAAAGATCCATTTGCCATTGTAGACTCCATACCACTATGAATTTCAATTAGTTAGTTTCACTTCAATCAACGTCTGTTAAAACAATCATACAGCAGTGAAGGAGGATATTTTACATGTCTGCTATTTGAAATTTATCCATTGGCCATGTTGCCTCTACTATCCCCATAGGTAGCATTACAGTTTGGTGAAAGCCAATTTAAATTGTGCAGTTTATTTATTTAAGAATATCCTATACACTTTCAACTTTTGATCTCATTTGAAAATGTAATCACAATAGGAACCTCCCATTCACTTAAAATCTAAAGTGAAACAGGTTTAAGAATACATCTGGTGAACTACAGTATCAACCTGACATCTTTCAGATGGAACATTTTATGCAGGTTATAACTTTATATCTACATGCTACTATCGTCGCAAACCGTCAGACTTGTATGCTTTAACATCCTGATAGGAATCGATAGCTTCTGTGCTCCCCACCTCCGTTCCCCCCCCCACAAACTGTTTTAGATTACCCAGAATTGAATGATAAGCTGAGTTTGCTGTTTTAGTTGGATAAAATATATGATGAGTCTTGACAGTACTGTATAACAAAATTCTTGGCTTCAGAATGAAAGGCATGCCCATGTAGATGAACCAGGCCAAATCAAATGGCAATTGAGGAAAATAAAAGTCACCTTCATGTTATTACTTGTAAAAAAGATATAAACTATTGTACTTCTAGAACAGTGTTTTGATGTCAGAAGTTCACATTTAGTTGAGGGACATTTGCGTAATGTTTCAGAAAACACCATCATGGAAAATAATAGGCTGGAACTTTGCCTTGCTTTGTTTCTCTATTTGCATTTTCTGTTTACAATACTAAGTATCTTTGACAAGTGCCAAATTGGAAGCAGTTAATTTGATGCTATAAACTACCTTGCAGTCGAGAATGGCATGTGTCAGCAGCTGAATACAATGTGTCCAATAAGAGACAAGGGAGCAGAAGTTGGGAAATGAACTTGTGCTCAAGTTACAGATTGGAGACCCTGTTACATGGCCTAGATGTGATTATGTATGACAAGTTCTGGAATAAAAAAATTCTGCATAACCTATCAATGGGGAAAAGAAATATATCAATGATGGTTACAAAACGACTCCATACCATTTGGCTTCTGCTGCAGACTTTTTAGTAGTAATGCTATTTGTACCTCACTGAAAATGGTTCAAAGAACTGAAAGACTGTCTTCAATTCTGTCTTTGAGAAAAGTCCTGAACATTTGGAAAATATACAAAATTGGAACGCACTACAATTGAGAGGTGGGAAGATTGAATATTTAAATGTAATCAAGCAAGAATATTAATGGATGGCTGTTCCTTTTGTGCAGAGGCAAAACCTGGCATTATGGGACAAATGGAAAAATTCTGCAGTGCACAGAATAAAAAATTTATTGAATACTTAGCTTTATTTGATCCTGAGGCAAACTGATTCAATATTTAGTTTCCTCATTTATGTGCACTGCTTGGAGTCATCAGCAAAACACATTAACAGTTTTCAAGCTAAGTCAGTATTTCAACCTAGAAATTTAAAAGACTTTGCACAAAGCTACAGCAGTGGTCAGTGCTATTTCATGATGACTTACAAGAGGTCTTACACCTTAAGATGTTTCTTTTTCAACAGACAATTCTCAATTTTCATTTTAAAAACTAAAAAGAACTGCAGATGCTGTAAATCAGGATCAAAAACAGAAGTTGCTGGAAAAGCTCAGCAGGTCTGGCAGCATCTGTGAAGACAAAATCAGAGTTATGTACCGTTCCTTAGAACTAACAATCTTCACTAGAAAAGTTTGAAACTGAAAGACAGACCGTTGTTCTTTCATGCTGTGTGAGACTCAGACTGGCTACTATCCTGAACATGAAACAGCTTCAAAACTTTGTCTCAAATATGATTGCCCAATTTGTGAAAGTAAAGCAAGAGAAAAGCAAAATCTCAAATGTTTCACTCTAGCAGAATTATAAGAAATCAAAAATATTTTTACTTGGTGTGCAAAACGAACAAAGTAAATTAAAGTAGAATTGCTAGGACACTGAGGAAAAGCATTGTTTTTCTTGACTGCTAAAACTGTTGAGCTGGGCCTAACAGGATATTCTTCAACAAGTAATTATTAGAGGAAATTAAGTGTTCCCAAATTGGTACAAAAACTCATTCTACAAATCAGCTGACCCACTTTGGATGAGACCTAATTTTTTTTAAAAATGTAGGGCCCAGGTGTTGCTGTTGAGACCAGTACTTATTGCCCAGTCTTAGCTGCTTTGACTGAGTTAGTCACGTACGACCACATGATTGACAAGTTTTCTTCCAAAAACAACAGTGAACCACTTTTGACTTTGACACTTGTGATTGTAAATTAACCCACTAATTTTTAAACTTCGGTTAAAATGTTTAAGCCTCCAATATTTCTTACAAATTAACTTGAAAGTAAAAGAGAGCCCATACGAAGAATTTAACATCTGCATTAAATATTTTATGGAGAACACATTATACACAATATTAGAAACGTTTCAAACCACCCTAATTTATTAACGTGACAACTGACAGCTATTACACAGTATGATCTCGTAACATAGCATCAAACTAACGAACTATTACAGCAAATATGGCATACAGCTTCTTCAAGATTAATTAATTCAGCACATAAATGCTAGTGTCCAGTCCAAGAGACCTCCCATTTCTTCTTCTATTTGAGCCCCATGTATACTTCCATTTTCCTAATAGCTCCATTCCCTTATTTCCCAGCGGAAGAGTGAATCTGAATCCGTAAACTTACAAAACTTCGCAGCAGCTTCTAAAAAAAAAGTTATTTTGATTAAAAAGCAAAATAAAAACCGTGCAAAGCTACAAATCCTTGGGGCATGCAAATAAAACTACCATCAGTGCTGAATTGTTATGATTTAGGAAGGACACAGCAACTTCTACACAATGCACAATATTCAAGTCCAGAATTTGCAATCGATACATTTCAGTCATTCACAAAATGGACAGTCCCAGCACTGAAATGACTGCAGTTGTACTTGGCCACTAGCTCTGCAGTTTTAAAAAAAAAAGCTGAAGAAAATGACACTAGGGTGTTAATGAGATTTGAACACATGGTAGGTGATAACTACTTACCAGCAACTTCTCTTGTGCTGAAAATTTAACATGGAATTTTATTCAATGAAGAAAATTAACATAAGATTTTTAGAATTTTAATAAACTTTTGTGCCCCTTTCAGCTCACTTCCTTAATCCTATCTACATTTTCCAACCCTTATTTTGCATTCTGTACATCATTTTCTAATTTAGAATCTGTGTGACAGTAAGGATCCTTTAATATGATTTGTTGTCAACCTTCAGACACATTTCCAAATGTTGCATCCTTTGGATACCAGGGATGAGACACCGATGCGAATGGTGGATGAGAGTTCTTTGCGTCAGAGCAAAATTAAGGCCAATATTTCAAAGAGCAGAACATGAAGGATATTGTAACAGAGATAGTAGGAACTGCAGATGCTGGAGGATCTGAGATAACAAGGTGCAGAGCTGGATGAACACCGCAGGCCAAGCAGCATCAGAGGAGCAGGAAGGCTCTCGCTTCGGGCCCAGACCCTTCTTCAGAAATGGGGGAGGGGAAGGGGGTTCTGAAATAAATAGGGAGAGAGGGGGAGGCGGATAGAAGATGGATAGAGGAGAAGATAGGTGGAGAGGAGACAGACAGGTCAAAGAGGCGGGGATGGAGCCAGTAAAGGTGGGGACGTAGGAAGGAGATAGGTCAGTCCAGGGAGGACGGACAGGACAAGGGGGCGGGGCTTGAGGTGGGAGGAAGGACAGGTTAGGGAGGCGGGGACGAGCTGGGCTGGTTTTGGGATGTGGTACGGGGAGGGCAGATTTTGAAGCTTGTGAAGTCCACATTGATACCATTGGGCTGCAAGATTCCCAAGCGGAATATGAGTTGCTGTTCCTGCAACCTTTGGGTAGCATCGTTGTAGCACTGCAGGAGGCCCAGGATGGACATGCCGTCTGCGGAATGGGAAGGGGAGTTGAAATGGTTCGCGACTGGGAGGTGCAGTTGTTTAGTGCGAACTGAGAGTAGGTGTTCTGCAAAGCGGTCCCCAAGCCTCCGCTTGGTATCCCCGATGTAGAGGAGGCCACAACGGGAACAACGGATGCAGTACACCACATTAGCAGATGTGCAGGTGAACATCTGCTTGATGTGGAAAGTCTTCTTACAGCCTGGGAAGGGGGTGAGGGGGGAGGTGTAGGGGCAGGTGTAGCACTTTCTGCGGTTGCAGGGAAAAGTGCCGGGTGAGGTGGGGCTGGAGGGGAGTATGGAGCGAACAAGGGAGTCACGGAGAGAGTGGCCCCTCTGGAAAGCAGATAAGGGTGGGGAGGGAAAAATGTCTTTGGTGGTGGGGTCGGATTGCAGATGGCGGAAGTGTCGGAGGATGATGCGTTGGATCCGGAGATTGGTGGGGTGGTATGTGAGGACAAGGGGGATTCTGTTTTGGTTGTTATTGCGGGGAGGGGATGTGAGGGATGAGTTGTGGGAAATGCGGGAGACACGGTCGAGGGCGTTCTCGACCACTGAGGGGGGGGGGAAGTTGCGGTCCTTGAAAAACGAGGACATCTGAGATGTACAGGAGTGGAATGCCTCATCCTGGGAGCAGATGTGGCGGAGGCGAAGGAATTGGGAATAAGGGATGGCATTTTTGCAGGAAGGTGGGTGGGAGGAGGTGTATACAAAGAGGCAGGCATAGCTTGGGCCCATGCGGGTACCCATGGCCACCCCCTTTGTCTGTAGGAAGTGGGAGGAATTGAAAGAGAAGTTGTTGAGGGTGAGGACGAGTTCAGCTAAGCGGATGAGGGTGTCAGTGGAGGGGGACTGGTTGGGCCTGCGGGACAGGAAGAAGCAGAGGGCCTTTAGGCCATCTGTATGGGGAATGCAGGTGTATAGGGACTGGATGTCCATGGTAAAGATGAGGTGTTGGGGACTGGGGAATTGGAAGTTCTGGAGGAGGTGGAGGGCGTGGGTGGTGTCACGGACGTAGGTAGGGAGTTCTTGGACCAAGGGGGAGAAAATAGAGTCCAGATAGGTGGAGATAATGGGTCGACCAGGGCAGTCAGGTTTGTGGATTTTGGGAAGGAGGTAGAAGTGGGTGGTGCGGGGTTGGGGAACGATGAGGTTGGAGGCTGTGATGAGGTTGTGGATAGTTTGGGAGATGATGGTTTAGTGGTCGGGGGTGGGGTCATGAGCAAGGGGGCCGTAGGAGGTGGTGTCGGAGAGGTGGCGTCTGGCCTCAGCGATGTAGAGGTCAGTGCGCCATACTACAACTCCCTTGTCCGTGGGTTTTATGGCGAGGTTGGGATCAGAGCGGATGGAGTGGAGGGCTGCACTTTCTGCGGGGGAGAGACTGGAGTGGGTGAGAGGGGTGGAGAGGTTGAGGCCATTGATGTCACGACAGCAGTTGGAGATGAAGAGGTCGAGGGAGGGTAGGAGGCCTTGGGGTGGTGTCCAGGAGGAGGGGGTGTGTTGGATGCGGGAGAAGGGGTCAGTAGAGGGAGGGTTAGGCTCACGGTTGAAGAAGTAAGTGCGGAGGCGGAGGAAAAACTGCTCTATATCCAAACATGACCGGTATTCGTTGATGTGTGGGTAGAGGGGGACAAAGGTGAGCCCTTTACTGAGGACTGACCATTCGTCCTCAGTAAGGGGGAGGTCTGGGGGGATGGTGAAGACTCGGCAGGGCTCGGTGCTGCTGTCTCCTCTGGAGCTGCTGGCTGTGGAGGCGGTGGGCAGAGCGACGTCAGTGTCAGCTGTGGGCGGAGTTGCGTCGGCGGTGGCGGGCAGAGTTGCGTCAGTGTCAGCGGTGGGCGGAGTTGCGTCGGTGATGGGCTGAGCAGGGTAGGAGGCGGCAGCAGCGGTGACGGTAGGTGCATCCTCAGTGTCTATGGTGTTGGCCTCGGAAATGGAGGCCATGGCATCAGCAGCGGTGTTGATGGTGTTCGCTGTCCCGGAAGTGGTGTACCTGGCGGCGGAGGATGTGACGTCATCCGTGGTTGCTCCGACAGTGGCCACGTGGCCTTGGACTGTATTACAGCTTTATAAATATTGTACCAGAGCAGAGACTGGGAATTCTGTGGTGAGTCACACATCTCCTGACTTGCAAAACCTGTCTTGCATCCACAAGGCATATCATCAGGGATATGATGGAATACTTGTTTAGATAAGTGCAGCTCCAACAATACTCAAGAAGCAGATTTTTTCTGTTTACTATAGACAGTCTCTCATCTCACTAAAGTCGGTCATCCTACATTTAAAATTCTAGTAGCTGATTTGGGCTTTTCACTTTCAAACACTATACTGAACTCGATCTTGTTATGATCACTAATTGATAAATGTTCATGCACAATTAGGTTACTAATTAAATCCAGCTCATTACTAAATCCAATATTGCCTGTCCCCTTGTGGCATCCAGGACATTTTGTTGTAGGAAATAATCCTTGACACACGGCAGAAATTCTCTACCTTTCTGACACGTGCTTGTCTGCCGCTTCCAACCTATGTTAAAGTTAAAATCCTCCATTAATACTTCTGTTTTTGCTACACACTTGCCTAATTTCCACAATTATGCAGTCTATTACTTTAGAGCTACCAACTGTAGGTTATATTAAGGTTTCTTACCCTAGGATTTATTAACAAACAGCATTGCAGCTTTTTTCTTTTCTGCTTTCTTGTTTGCTAGTGAGAAGTATTCATTGACTGTTATTTAAAAATACAAAACATAGAAACATTATTAAGACACATGAAAGGCAAATGAAAATTGAAATTCTGGAGTAAACTGCAAAAATAGTTACCACTGCTTCTCCTGCTGCCTGGTCCATAGAGTCGATAATTAATGAAAGCTTTAGCATTTTCAATCTGCTGGCTTGTTTGCCCTTGGTCCTTTAAATGAATGGCCATATAGCTCTCCTTCCATCTGTAAAGGAATGAACGCGTAAACAGAGTAACAACTATATAGCGAGCCTTTTTTAATAGATCAAATTGATTGCACCAAGTAAGTGTTAAAAAAGAGCAGGGAAGAGTGTAGGTTTGAACACATGATGCAAGCTGGAAGGAGGTACAACCTTTTCCCTCCATTCCTTGCAATGGTTCATGTAAACTCGAGGCAGTAAGCATTGTTTTGGTGCTTACTGTTACGACATAGAGATAGCAAATCAAATCAGCCTAACCATCACTGGATTTGCAATTAAAACAGACTGTCTAATTGTTCCCAACGAGACTTTACAACTAACAGATCTTGGACACCAAGCTTAACATAAAAAATTGTCAATTTATTACAAATAATACAGCAGAACACAAAAAAAAACCAAGGTAATCTAATTAATATCTACAATACAAATCTTCGTGAATCATAACCCTCACTCTTACACATAATGTGCAAGGGAAAAAATTAAAAAGGAAGTTAGGAGAACAAAAAGCAGGCATGAAAGAATAATGGCAGATAAAATAAAGGAAAATCCTAAGTTATTTTACAAGTACATTAAGGTTAAAAATTTAGGGAAGAGTAGGGCCCATTATGGACCACAGTGGTAATTTGTGCATGAAGCCAGAGGTATGGTTCTAAATGAATACGTTGTATCAGTGTTCCCTAGTGTGGGATGAGGAGTATAGAAATCAGAGAAAAGGACTGTGATATACTTAAAAGAAATTTGCATAGACAAACACCAAGTTCTGAGTAGTCTGGCAGGCTTAAAAATAGATAAATGGGGAGAATGAAATATATCCCAGGCTGTTGCATGAGGCAAGGGAGGAAATAGGAAAAAGGGGTGTTTGCAATAACTTTCAATTATTCCCTGGTTACAGGACAGGTGCCAGAGGGCTGGAAGAAAGCCAGTAAGTTTGCTTTGAGAATTGTCCATTTCTCTTTCACTCTCATCTTTCTTTTCTCTACCCTCCTCTACTACACTTACTACCTGACACACCTGGACTTTCTCATACAAACAAAAATAGAGATTGTTGGAGAAACTCAGCAATTTCTGCAATTGTTTGTTTCAGATCTCCAGCATTCAGTTTCTTTATCGCTGCACTTTCTCATCATCTTCTTGAGGCGTACTGTTTCAACACGCTTACATGACATAACTACTTTTCCTATCCTGTGATCAGGAGTATCAATTAGATATGTCACCTTACTGACCATTTTAGCTACTTTGAACGGACCACTGAACTTTGCTTTTAGTAGGTCACATTGTGAAGACGAGTAAGAAAATGCCACTGCCCAATTTGAATTTCTAGTTGTTGCATGTTTATCTGCCCATTTTTTTTGTTTTCTGAAGTTTTCAGATGATCCTGCATAACT